GACTATAGAATAGTCTTAAGTCTTGCTACATAATAGTCTATGGTCTGGACTATAGAATAGCCATAATCTGGGCTATAGAATATAGCTAAGTCTATCCTTTAGTATAGTATATAGTCTAGTCTATAGTCTAGTCTATAGTCTAGTCTATAGTCTAGTCTATAGTCTAGTCTATAGTCTAGTCTATAGTCTAGTCTATAGTCTAGTCTATAGTCTAGTCTATAGTCTAGTCTATAGTCTAGTCTATAGTCTAGTCTATAGTCTAGTCTATAGTCTAGACTAGACTATAGACTAGTCTATAGTCCTAGTCTATAGTCTAGTCTATATTCTAGTCTATAGTCTAGTCTATAGTCTAGTCTATAGTCTAGTCTATAGTCTAGTCTAGTCTAGACTATAGTCTAGTCTATAGTCTAGACTATAGTCTAGTCTATAGTCTAGTCTATAGTCTAGTTTATAGTCTAGTCTATAGTCTAGTCTATAGTCTAGTCTATAGTCTAGTCTATAGTCTAGTCCATAGTCTAGTCCATAGTCTAGTCCATAGTCTAGTCCATAGTCTAGTCTATAGTCTAGTCTATAGTCTAGTCTATAGTCTAGTCTATAGTCTAGTCCATAGTCTAGTCTATAGTCTAGTCTATAGTCTAGTCTATAGTCTAGTCTATAGTCTAGTCTATAGTCTAGTCTATAGTCTAGTCTATAGTCTAGTCTATAGTCTAGTCTATAGTCTAGTCTATAGACTAGTCTTTAGTCTAGTCTATAGTCTAGTCTATAGTCTAGTCTATAGTTAGTCTATAGTCTAGTCTATAGACTAGTCTGGACTATAGAATAGTCTTAAGTCTGCTACATAATAGTCTATGGTCTGGACTATAGAATAGCCATAATCTGGGCTATAGAATATAGCTAAGTCTATCCTTTAGTATAGTATATAGTCTAGTCTATAGTCTAGTCTATAGTCTAGTCTATAGTCTAGTCTATAGTCTAGTCTATAGTCTAGTCTATAGTCTAGTCTATAGTCTAGTCTATAGTCTAGTCTATAGTCTAGTCTATAGTCTAGTCTATAGTCTAGTCTATAGTCTAGTCTATAGTCTAGTCTATATTCTAGTCTATAGTCTAGTCTATAGTCTAGTCTATAGTCTAGTCTATAGTCTAGTCTAGTCTAGACTATAGTCTAGTCTATAGTCTAGACTAATAGACTAGACTATAGGACTAGACTATAGTCTAGACTATAGACTAGACTATAGACTAGACTATAGACTAGACTATAGACTAGACTATATAGACTAGACTATAGACTAGAATATAGACTAGACTATAGACTAGACTATAGACTAGACTATAGACTAGACTATAGACTAGACTATAGACTAGACTATAGACTAGACTATAGACTAGACTATAGTCTAGACTATAGACTAGTCTATAGACTAGACTATAGACTAGACTAGACTATAGACTAGACTATAGACTAGAATATAGACTAGACTATAGACTAGAATATAGACTAGACTATAGACTAGAATATAGACTAGTCTATAGTCTAGTCTATAGTCTAGTCTATAGTCTAGTCTATAGTCTAGTCTATAGTCTAGTCTATAGTCTAGTCTATAGTCTAGTCTAATATTCTAGTCTATAGTCTAGTCTATAGTCTAGTCTATAGTCTAGTCTAGTAGTCTAGTCTATAGTCTATGTCTAGTCTAGTCTAGTCTAGTCTAGTCTAGTCTAGTCTAGTCTAGTCTAGTCTAGTCTAGTCTAGTCTAGTCTATAGTCTAGTCTAGTCTATAGGTCTAGTCTATAGTCTAGTCTATAGTCTAGTCTATAGTCTTAGTCTATAGTCTAGTCTATAGTCTAGTCTATAGTCTAGTCTATAGTCTAGTCTATATTCTAGTCTATAGTCTAGTCTATATTCTAGTCTATAGTCTAGTCTATCTTCTAGTCTATAGTCTAGTCTATAGTCTAGTCTAGTCTAGTCTATAGTCTAGTCTAGTCTAGTCTAGTCTAGTCTAGTCTATAGTCTAGTCTAGTCTAGTCTAGTCTAGTCTAGTCTAGTCTAGTAGTCTTAGTCTAGTCTAGTCCTAGTCTAGTCTAGTAGTCTATAGTCTAGTCTATAGTCTAGTCTATAGTCTAGTCTATAGTCTAGTCTATAGTCTAGTCTATAGTCTAGTCTATAGGTCTAGTCTATAGTCTAGTCTATAGTCTAGTCTATAGTCTAGTCTATAGTCTAGTCTATAGTCTAGTCTATAGTCTAGTCTATAGTCTCGTCTATAGTCTAGTCTATAGTCTAGTCTATAGTCTAGTCTATAGTCTAGTCTATAGTCTAGTCTATAGTCTAGTCTATAGTCTAGTCTATAGTCTAGTCTATAGTCTAGTCTATAGTCTAGTCTATAGTCTAGTCTATAGTCTAGTCTATAGTCTAGTCTATAGTCTAGTCTATAGTCTAGTCTATAGTCTAGTCTATAGTCTAGTCTATAGTCTAGTCTATAGTCTAGTCTATAGTCTAGTCTATAGTCTAGTCTATAGTCTAGTCTATAGTCTAGTCTATAGTCTAGTCTATAGTCTAGTCTATAGTCTAGTCTATAGTCTAGTCTATAGTCTAGTCTATAGTCTAGTCTATAGTCTAGTCTATAGTCTAGTCTAGTCTATAGTCTAGTCTATAGTCTAGTCTATAGTCTAGTCTATAGTCTAGTCTATAGTCTAGTCTATAGTCTAGTCTATAGTCTAGTCTATAGTCTAGTTTATAGTCTAGTCTATAGTCTAGTCTATAGTCTAGTCTATAGTCTAGTCTATAGTCTAGTCCATAGTCTAGTCCATAGTCTAGTCCATAGTCTAGTCCATAGTCTAGTCTATAGTCTAGTCTATAGTCTAGTCTATAGTCTAGTCTATAGTCTAGTCCATAGTCTAGTCTATAGTCTAGTCTATAGTCTAGTCTATAGTCTAGTCTATAGTCTAGTCTATAGTCTAGTCTATAGTCTAGTCTATAGTCTAGTCTATAGTCTAGTCTATAGACTAGTCTTTAGTCTAGTCTATAGTCTAGTCTATAGTCTAGTCTATAGTCTAGTCTATAGTCTAGTCTATAGACTAGTCTTTAGTCTAGTCTATAGTCTAGTCTATAGTCTAGTCTATAGTCTAGTCTATAGTCTAGTCTATAGTCTAGTCTATAGTCTAGTCTATAGTCTAGTCTATAGTCTAGTCTATAGTCTAGTCTATAGTCTAGTCTATAGTCTAGTCTATAGTCTAGTCAATAGTCTAGTCTATAGTCTAGTCTATAGTCTAGTCTATAGTCTAGTGTATAGTCTAGTCTATAGTCTAGTTTATAGTCTAGTCTATAGTCTATTTTATAGTCCAGTCTATAGATTAATCTATAGTCTAGTCCATAGTCTAGTCTGGACTATAGACTAGACTTTACTCTGTACTATAGAATAGTTTATAGTCTGAACTATAGAATAGTCTATAGTCTGGACTACAGTCTAGTCTTTAGTCTAGTTTATAGCCAGTTTTATATTTAGTAGTATAATTTGCTTTATAGTCTTATCTGAAGTTTGTTCTGAATGAAAATAATTTATTTGATTTAATAACAATAAAACGTAATAAATAAATATTTAAATAAATTGTAAAAACAAAGTGTTCTATTGATCATTGGTTTTTGTTGTGGAAATTTTAATTTTTCAATTCAAAAACAGTTGAAAAATTGAAAGTTCTATTGTGAATAAAACTAAAATAAACAAACAATAAATATAACAAAAGATTATTTAAATTTTGTTTACAACAAAAATAAATAAATATTTGTTTTATTTTGTTTGTTTGTTTTGTTGTAATATTGTATTAAAAATTTAAAACAATTATTTTGTCAATTTTGAAAACAAACTGCGAAAAGTTGTTGCTCTAGTATTCAACGACAAAAGTCATTAAACGAAAAATTTACAATAAAAACAACAACAATAGCAACAAAATTGGTTTTGGAAAAAAGAAATACATAACAAAAGAAGAGATTAATTTTTATGAAAATATAAACAAATAAATATGTAATTATTTAAATTAATTATTAAACAATGTTGTAGATTAAATGGCGAAATAAAATTGATTTAGTACTATTTTGAAAAATTAAGTACTTTTTTGGGGTTTCTTTTTGAGAAGAAATGTTGATTTTAGTGTATGGATTTGAATTTTAAAGCTTTTGGAAAAAGTACTTTTTGAAAAATAGTACTTTTTTGGAAAAGTACTTTTTGAAAAATTGTAATTTTGTTGTTTAAAATTGTTTAAAAATGGAAAATTTTGTTAATTTATGGAAAATTTGTTTTTAAAGGAAAAAAGTACTTTTTTAGAAAAAAGTACTTTTAGGTTTTATACAAGAAAATTTGCAGGAATAATTGGCTTATGTTTAAAAATTTAATTTTCTGTAAAAAGTTTTACTTTCTTTTGGAAAAAGTACTACTTTTTTGAGAAAAAATACTACTTTTTGCAAAAAGTACTTTTAGCAAAAAAGTACCTTTTTGCCTTAATAATAAAATTTTAATTAGAAATTATATTTTAACACATTTGCCACAAAAAGTACTTTTAAAAAAAGGTACTTTTTTGAAAAAGTACTTTTTCGAAAAAAGTACTTTTTTGAAAATTTGTCTGTTTTTGTTTAAAACGAAGAATAAATTATGTTTTAACACTAAAATTTCTTTATTAGCACTATAATTTCTTTATTAAACTACCTTTTTTAAACACTTTTCCTTTTTTTTTAAATTTCAAGTTTTTCAATTAAAATTCTGGGAATTTCTTTCATAATGTTAAAATAATCATGTATTTTTAAACTGTATATTTTGTTAAAAGACAATTAAAATTCTTAACACAGAAAAACAATATTTATGTTAATTTTTGTTTTTATAATAAAAATTTAATTTCAATTGTTTTGTTCCTTTTTAAAAAATTAACACTTTAATAAAACTGGTTTTCAATTATCAACAGATGTTACTGTTTACTTAATAACTTTATTTAAATTTATTTAATCCTTTTTTACGCACCTTTTTTTATTGAAAATTTTAAATTTTCTTTTCTTTAAAATGTCTTTTTCGCAACCTTACGAATGGTTTTTGCTCTTCTGTCCTTTGGTTTTGGTTTTAAAGGGAAACTTTTAGTTTTTAACAACTTCAGCAAACACTAAGAGGTTTTGAGCTCCTAACAGCTCGAAAAACAGTAAATTTTTTAGTCCACCGCACAGCTTTTTATATCAAAAAAAATTCTCTTCAATCAATCTAAAGATTTTGCTCTTATTTGTAGATAAGCTGATAAGCCTTTTTTTCCTAAAAGCTTGTTTATATAGAGAAGCTGCAAATGTTGCCTTATCATATTCTTTTTACAATTTATCTGTAATTTAAGTTAAGCAAAAAAAAATTTCTTAAATTTTTTTTTTAAGTTTTACTGACTTACACAAATTTCTAAAAGGTTCAGGGCTTGCGCCCATAAATCATTGTAAATTTTAAAACTGATAAGGAGACACATATCTGTATGCAAATAATCAACAGACTTTCGTTTTGTGAGTGATCTTTTGAAAGTCAAGAAGAATTCAGAAGTTATGTATAATTTTTAATATTTTCCTTATTCCGTGTTGTTACTAAACTATAGACCTGACCTGATTTTAAACCATACTATAGACTAGATAATAGACTTGACTATAGACTAGATCACAATGCAGACTTTAAACTAGACTATAAAACAAACTATAGACCATACTATAGACTTTCAACAGGACTATAGTCCTGACTATAGAACAAAATATAGTCCGGACTATAGATCGAAGTATACACTGTACTATAGCATAGACTATAGTTCAAACTATAGACCAGAATATAGATCATGGAGCAGACTATATACCAGATTTTATACTAGAATATAGTCCAGACCAGACCAAAGTCCAAATAATAGTCTAAACTATTCATAGCCCAGACATTTGACTAAACTATTGATTCGACTATCGCCCAGACCAGAGACAAAAGACTACATGACTGTCCAGACCACAGAGCAGACCACAGAGACCACAGTGCAGACCATAGACCAGTTTATAGACCAGACTGATGTTCAGATAATAGGCTAGACTATTCACCAGTTAACAGTACAGACTACTGACTAGACTATTGAATAGATTATTCTTTCTAAAGTTTCCTTATAAAATCGATGAACTACTGACAAGATTATAGTCTGTAGACTAGACTGTAGGCCAAAATATAGACCAGTCTATAACCAGACTGTAGACTCGACAATAGACAAGACTATAGACTAGACCATAGACTAGAATAGACTAGACTAGACTAGATAGACTCTAGACTATAGACTGACTAGTAGACTAGACTAGACTATAGACTAGACTATAGACTAGACTATAGACTAGACTATAGACTAGACTATAGACTAGACTATAGACTAGACTATAGACTAGACTATAGACTAGACTATAGACTAGACTATAGACTAGACTATAGACTAGACTATAGACTAGACTATGACTAGACTATAGACTAGACTATAGACTAGACTATAGACTAGACTATAGACTAGACTATAGACTAGGACTATAGACTAGACTATAGACTAGACTATAGACTAGACTATAGACTAGACTATAGACTAGACTATAGACTAGACTATAGACTAGACTATAGACTAGACTATAGACTAGACTATAGACTAGACTATTAGACTAGACTATAGACTAGACTATAGACTAGACTATGACTAGACTATATGACTAGACATAGACTAGACTATAGACTAGACTATAACTAGACTTTGACTAGACTATAGACTAGACTATAGGCTAGACTATAGACTAGACTATAGACTAGACTATAGACTAGACTATAGACTAGACTATAGACTAGACTATAGGACTAGACTATAGACTAGACTATAGACTAGACTATAGACTAGACTATAGACTAGACTATAGACTAGACTATAGACTAGATATAGACTAGACTATAGACTAGACTATGACTGACTATAGACTAGACTATAGACTAGACTATAGACTAGACTATAGACTAGACTAGACTAGACTATAGATGCTATACTACTATGACTAGACTATAGACTAGACTATAGACTAGACTATAGACTAGACTATAGACTAGACTATAGACTAGACTATAGACAGACTATGACTGACTAAGACTAGGACTATAGACTAGACTATAGACTAGACTATAGACTAGACTATAGACTAGACTATAGACTAGACTATAGACTAGACTATAGACTAGACTATAGACTAGACTATAGACTAGACTATAGACTAGACTATAGACTAGACTATAGACTAGACTATAGACTAGACTATAGACTAGACTATAGACTAGACTATAGACTAGACTATAGACTAGACTATAGACTAGACTATAGACTAGACTATAGACTAGACTATAGACTAGACTATAGACTAGACTATAGACTAGACTATAGACTAGACTATAGACTAGACTATAGACTAGACTATAGACTAGACTATAGACTAGACTATAGACTAGACTATAGACTAGACTATAGACTAGACTATAGACTAGACTATAGACTAGACTAGACTAGACTATAGACTAGACTATAGACTAGACTATAGACTAGACTATAGACTAGACTATAGACTAGACTATAGACTAGACTATAGACTAGACTATAGACTAGACTATAGACTAGACTATAGACTAGACTATAGACTAGAGTATAGACTAGATTATAGAGTAGACTATAAACTAGACTATGGACTAGACTATAGACTAGACTACTAGACTATAGACTAGACTAGACTATAGACTAGACTATAGACTAGACTATAGACTAGACTATAGACTAGACTATAGACTAGACTATAGACTAGACTATCGACTAGACTATAGACTAGACTATAGGCAAGACTATAGGCAATACTATAGACTAGACTATATGCTAGACTATAGACTAGACTATAGTCTAGTTTATAGTCTAGTCTAGACTATAGACTAGACTATAGACTAGACTATAGACTAGACTATAGACTAGACTATAGACTAGACTATAGACTAGACTATAGACTAGACTATAGACTAGACTATAGACTAGACTATAGACTAGACTATAGACTAGACTATAGACTAGACTATAGACTAGACTATAGACTAGACTATAGACTAGACTATAGACTAGACTATAGACTAGACTATAGACTAGACTATAGACTAGACTATAGACTAGACTATAGACTAGACTATAGACTAGACTATAGACTAGACTATAGACTAGACTATAGACTAGACTATAGACTAGACTATAGACTAGACTATAGACTAGACTATAGACTAGACTATAGACTAGACTATAGACAAAACTATAGACTATAACAATAGACTAGAATATAAACTAGACTATAATAATAGACTAGAATATAAACTAGACTATAGACTAGACTATAGACTAGACCATAGACTATACTATAGACTAGACTATAGACTAGACTATAGACTAGACTATAGACTAGACTATAGACTAGACTATAGACTAGACTATAGACTAGACTGTAGACTAGACTATAGACTAGACTATAGACTTGACTATAGACTAGACTATAGACTAGACTATAGACTAGACTATAGACTAGACTATAGACTAGACTATAGACTAGACTATAGACTAGACTATAAACTAGACTATAGACCAGACTATAGAATAGACTAGACTATAGACTAGACTATAGACTAGACTATAGACTAGACTATAGACTAGACTATAGACTAGACTATAGACTAGACTATAGACTAGACTATAGACTAGACTATAGACTAGACTATAGACTAGACTACAGACTAGACTATAGACTAGACTATAGACTAGACTATAGACTAGACTATAGACTAGACTATAGACTAGACTATAGACTAGACTATAGACTAGACTATAGACTAGACTATAGACTAGACTATAGACTAGACTATAGACTAGACTATAGACTAGACTATAGACTAGACTATAGACTAGACTATAGACTAGACTATAGACTAGACTACAGACTAGACTATAGACTAGACTATAGACTAGACTACAGACTAGACTATAGACTAGACTATAGACTAGACTGTAGACTAGACTATAGACTAGACTATAGACTAGACTATAGACTAGACTGTAGACTAGACTATAGACTAGACTATAGACTAGACTATAGACTAGACTATAGACTAGACTATAGACTAGACTATAGACTAGACTATAGACTAGACTATAGACTAGACTATAGACTAGACTATAGACTAGATTATAGACTAGACTATAGACTAGACTATAGACTAGACTATAGACTAGACTATAGACTAGACTATAGACTAGACTATAGACTAGACTATAGACTAGTCTATAGTCTATAGACTATAGACTATAGACTATAGACTAGACTATAGACTAGACTATAGACTAGACTATAGACTAGACTATAGACTAGACTATAGACTAGACTATAGACTAGACTATAGACTAGACTATAGACTAGACTATAGACTAGACTATAGACTAGACTATAGACTAGACTATAGACTAGACTATAGACTAGACTATAGACTAGACTATAGACTAGACTATAGACTAGACTATAGACTAGACTATAGACTAGACTATAGACTAGACTATAGACTAGACTATAGACTAGACTATAGACTAGACTATAGACTAGACTATAGACTAGACTATAGACTAGACTATAGACTAGACTATAGACTAGACTATAGACTAGACTATAGACTATAGACTAGACTATAGACTATAGACTAGACTATAGACTAGACTATAGACTATAGACTAGACTATAGACTAGACTATAGACTAGACTATAGACTAGACTATAGACTAGACTATAGACTAGACTATAGACTAGACTATAGACTAGACTATAGACTAGACTATAGACTAGACTATAGACTAGACTATAGACTAGACTATAGACTAGACTATAGACTAGACTATAGACTAGACTATAGACTAGACTATAGACTAGACTATAGACTAGACTATAGACTAGACTATAGACTAGACTATAGACTAGACTATAGACTAGACTATAGACTAGACTATAGACTAGACTATAGACTAGACTATAGACTAGACTATAGACTAGACTATAGACTAGACTATAGACTAGACTATAGACTAGACTATAGACTAGACTATAGACTAGACTATAGACTAGACTA